AGAGAGGCTGTATAGGGTTTCTGAGGAGTGACTAGTGGGTTTGAACCACCAACCTTGTGGTTATCAGTCCAGTGCTTATCCTACAGATCTGCATCATATATTTATACATATATAGAATAAAAGTAAACTTTGATAAAAGGCATTTTATTTATGGGAAAGGCATGTTATTATTTAATGCCATAGAGTTAGTTCTGACTCATAGCAACCCTCTATAGGGTTTGAATTGCAGACCTCTCAGTTAGGAGCCTAGCACTTACCTCACTGAAGCACTGTGGCTCGTCAAAGTATATATAAACCTGAAAGAATTAGGCACAGATAATGCTTCCATAACTTACCTTAAACTAAAGTCAATGTTCCATGACTTTTCACTGGACTCTGTTTTCCTACTCGTTGATCTTCTAGAAGTAGATAAATTTCTAAGTCCAGTGTATGCTACCTGCCTACAGATGTGCATGTTGATCCTTCAACAAAACAGTAACTATAATTTACCAAATAATGAAAGTGTGAGATGCATCCAGAATTAAAGTGTATGTTAATATAATATCTTAGACTGGTTATAGGTTTACAGAATAATAACTATTATAAAAATAGTACAAAGGGCCACTATAACTCACACGTAGTTTCCCGTAATTAACATCTTACATTTTTGATGTTGTTAACTGCCATCGAGTCAGTTCCAACTCATAAGCACCCTGTATAGGGTTTCTGAGGAGCAACTGATGGGTTTGAATTGCTTATTCTACAGTACCACACCAGGACTCCCACGTCTTACATTACATTTGTACATTTGTTACAAAGCTTAACAGTATTGATACAATATTAGTAACCAAAGTTCATACTTTGTTCAGGATTTTCTTAGTTTCATTATAATTTTTTTTTAATTTTTTAAAACTTTACTGTGTGTTTTTTTTTTTTTTTACAATTCATATGCATTGTTTAATTACATTGATTATAATCCCCTCCATATACCATCAGTTAACAGTATTTCTCTCTATCCAACTTAGCTTTTTAAAAAACACACAAACAAACAAAAACCCACTCAGGCATATATA